TAGATTTGAGTCCTGAGGCCTCCCTGTATTTTGGACCTTTTCTCCCAGGTCTTGTTTTATTTTCTTTTGTCAATATGTGAGTATTTTGTGTAAATCGACACTTTTGTTTTTGTAGGTATTGCAAAGTGGGGAGTTTATTGAAGGAGAGGGAAGGAAGAACAGAGTTCCCAAGAAAGGAGGGGTCCCAGAAAATGGGTTGCCAAGGAAGAAGGGGTTTTTATTTGGGTCAGGAAGGGCTCAGGTTCTAGGTGGAGAAATCAATACTTTGAACCTGCAAAGGTAAGGAATATTAACTCAGTAAAAAGGAAATTTGCGTTGTTTTCTTGAAATGCATGCTATGAGGGACCAGGAAGTGGTGCTGTGGTAACACAACTGTACCCATAGGGAAAGTCCTGGGTTGGTGTCCTGAGGCTTCCTGTACACACTGGACATGTTTTGTGCTGGTAATCCCAACTGGCTGAGACAGGAGGTTGATTGCAGTGTAATGACCCTGTTGGGGATGCTTCTCTCTTTTTCTGTCTCTTTCTCTCTCATTGAAGAGATTTTAAAAAGAGTTATAATATTATCAGTGCTATCTTAATGAAGTTCTGTATTAGGTACATGATGTTACTGAGGAGGAACTGACCAATTCTGTTAAAACGAAAGGGGAGGATTGGAGCACCAATGAACAACACTGGGAGAGGACTGATGAAAGACAGCTGAAGCATAAAGGGGGGAGGATTATACTGATATAGTCCCCTAAATGCAGTCTATAATAATATCTTGATAGTCTGTGGCAACATGAAAAAATAAGGACAATGTATGAGTCTTTGTATAAAACTAAATTTATCCTAAAGATTTACCTTTATTCTGAAATAATATCTTTCTTATCTTGTTTGTTAAAATTCACTTTTCTTTATAAAATGGTGATGATAGTAAGTTTTCAACTTTTTTTTTCTTTTTTTCTTTTTTCTTTTTTTGGAGAGGTTTTCGCTATAGGGCGCGTGTGCTCACCAGACAGACAGAGAGAGACAGAGAGAGAGAAAGCAAGAAATCACCCCCAAGAGGGGATGGCCACGCCGCAATCCCTTCTCCTCCATTCTCCTCTCGGGATCTTGGGCACGCACACACGGGAGGATTGGAGCACCAATGAACAACACTGGGAGAGGACTGATGAAAGACAGCTGAAGCATAAAGGGGGGAGGATTATACTGATATAGTCCCCTAAATGCAGTCTATAATAATATCTTGATAGTCTGTGGCAACATGAAAAAATAAGGACAATGTATGAGTCTTTGTATAAAACTAAATTTATCCTAAAGATTTACCTTTATTCTGAAATAATATCTTTCTTATCTTGTTTGTTAAAATTCACTTTTCTTTATAAAATGGTGATGATAGTAAGTTTTCAACTTTTTTTTTCTTTTTTTCTTTTTTCTTTTTTTGGAGAGGTTTTCGCTATAGGGCGCGTGTGCTCACCAGACAGACAGAGAGAGACAGAGAGAGAGAAAGCAAGAAATCACCCCCAAGAGGGGATGGCCACGCCGCAATCCCTTCTCCTCCATTCTCCTCTCGGGATCTTGGGCACGCACACACACACACCCGGCATGAGTTTAAGCCACCGGGTCCGGGACTCGAACTGCAGTCAACTACGTGGGAGTCCAGCAACATAGCCATTACACCAACTGCTGGTCCCAAGTTTTCAATTTTTAAAATAGCTTTTACTTTGCCAGAAAGAAAGGCATAAACAAACAAAAAAAAGCCAACACCACCTCTTGTTATTTTCCTCATCTGTTTTCTTTCTGGAAAATACACAGGTCCATGAAAATTCCAAATCTGGACTGTAAAGTAATATGTGATTCAATGTAATTTAAACAAGATTATGATAATAATAATAATACATTTTAAAAAGATAGACACGATTTTAGATGAACACAAAACAACATGTTTATAAGATGGTAGAAAATGATCATTAAGTTACAATAAATGATTTAATCACAAAACATATGTGGAATAGGTAATAATAAAAACAAATATGACATAAGAAAAAGAGTTCCAAATCTGGGAAGCATGCTAGGAGATGACCTTTACAACTTTGCCTTTATAGCCTGTTAATTCCATGGGTTATCACTGTGCAAAGAACCTGCCTTGAGTAACGGAGAAGCCTCACCTCCACTGGGCATTGTGCCCGAAGGGGTGTGGTTGGAAGCTGGGCAGGATCCCTCTAGGCTATCTCCATAAAAGGTGCAGTGGGTCACCCCAAGTCAGGAGCCTTTGCAGAGAAGGCCTCCAGTCTGCACCCCTTTGGTCTTTCAGCACCAAGCCTGGGTGGAGAGAGAACCCGTGCTGGAAAGAAGTGCTGCAGATCTGTAAATGGAGAGGCCCAATTTCAGCTTAGGTCCATTTTTTGTTCCAGAGATGTATGAGATAAAGAGAAAAATAAGAAAAAATATATATCCAAGAGGAGTGACCTCATAATGAAGTGCTGAAGCCTTGTCCATTGGGAGCCCGATACCACATGGCTTACTGTGGTTTGAATCCCAGACACCGTGGCTTGAAAAACTTGCTGTGTGTGTATGCATGTGTGCCTCAAATCCAGAGAGGATGGAGAAATGGAGGAAAAGGATTGCAGTATGACCATGTCCCATTGGTGGTGCTCTCTCTATATTTCTCTACCTCCCTTACTCTCTCTCTCTTTCTCTCTAAGTGCTTGTGACCTTTGACTATTAAAAAATGAGGCAAGGGAATCTTTCAGTCTTGATAGGACTGAGCAAGGGTAGGGCGGGGATGTGGAGGAAACAGTTGGTGGAGACAGCAACCTTCTTATTTTCTTTAGATTTCAATGACCCGTCTCAACTTTCTGCTGTTTCTCATTGTGGCCACCAAAGGGTGCAGTGCAGGTGAGTCATGCCCTTAGGAGCAGCAGTGCCCACAGCCCACCTAGGGTTGCTCCAGAACAGGACTAGGCTGGGTTGCTCCTGGAATCATGGTCTCTCCTGAGCTAAAGGGGATGTCTTTGCGAGGAACTGAGGTCACTGGGTGTAAGCTGAGTGCTGAGCTCTGGCCTCCTGTGGAGTCCAGCCAGCAGCGGGGGGGGGTGTGTGTTAGTTGAGGCACATCCAAGGACTGGCTCTGTGTCCATGTGGTCCTCAGGGGTTCCAGTAATACTGTACCCTCCCCCAGTCACTCCCTGCTCCTGTGGTCTTGGCCTCGGGATTGCCACAGAGTAGCCTAGTCTGTTTTGTGTTCAGAAACTTTCTTTCGTCCTCTGAGTTTACCTCTTTTTTATTGTTTTTTTCTTCTCAGTATAATTTTCTGTTTACTTGTCACGAACTCCGTCTCAAGGTAAACTCTTGGGGAGATTTTAATTCCTTTGAATCCCGAGTGCTTGGGGGAGGGCCTATCACACCCAGTAGTTTCACACGGAGGCGAACTCTCATGCATTATGCTGGTGTTGAAGGCTAGGCTGGAGGGGCTTTAAACTCATATATATAAATTATCTCAAGGCTGTACAACCCAGGAAGTGAGGCTCTGCTGTGGTAGTGGCATAGGTGATAAGAGTTTGAGACAAGTGATAAGAAGAAACTGGGCTGGGAACCAGCAGTTAGCGTAATGGCTATGTCGCTGGACTCCCACGTAGTCGGCCACGGTTCACGTCCCGAACCTGGTGGCTTAAAACTCACGCCGGGCGCGTGTGCGTGCGTGCCCAAGATCCTGAGAGGAGAATGGAGGAGAAGGGATTGCGGTGTGACCATCCCCCCTGGGGGGTGATTTCTCGCTTTCTGTCTCTATGTCTCTGGCTGGCTGGCGAGCACATGCGCCCTATAGCGAAAACCTCTCCAAAAAAAAAAAAAAAAAAAGAAGAAGAACAGGCTGGGTTTTGTGTCACACCTGTGTTGAGAATAAAACATTGCATCTTCTCCAGCTGCGGCCAGTTCTGCTCCCAAGAAATGGACCTGCTCATCCTTGTCCTCATCTAAGCCCAGAAGCTGCAAGGAAATCCAAGACAGGTGACGCAGTGCCC